GTCAACCAAGAAATCAAAGAGGAAATAAAAAAATACGTGGAGAACATGAAAATGAAAACAAAATAGTCCAAAATCTTTGGGAGGCAACAAAAGCTGTTCTAACAGAAAAGTTTATAGCAACATAGGTTTATCTCAAGAAACAAGAAAAATCTCAAGTAAACAACCTAACATTTAAAGGAGCTGGAAAAAGAAGAACAAACAAAGCCCAATGCCAGTGAAAGAAGGAAATAATAAAGATTAGAGCAGAAATAAATGAAATAGAGACTTAAACAGTAAAACAGATCACTGAAACCAGGAGCTCGTTCTTTGAAAAGATGAAGAAAATTAATATACCCTCAGTATAAAGGCACTACATAAAAAGAAAACTACAGGCCAGTATCTTTCATGAACATAGATGCAAAAATCCTCAACAAAATATTAGCAAACTGAATCCAACAATATGATAAAAATCATTCACCATAATCAAGTGGGATTTATTCCAGGGATGAGAGGGTGGCTCAATATTCACAAATAAATCAACATGATACATCATATTAACAAGAGAAAAGACAAAAACCATATGATCATCTCAATAAAAGCAGAAAAAGCATTTGACAAAATCCAGTATCTGTCATGATAAAAACTCTCAACAAAGTGGGTTTAGGGAGAACATACCACAATATAATAAAGACCATATATGAAAAATTCACAGCTAGCATCACACCCCATGGTGAAAAACTGAGAGCTATTCCTCTAAGATCAGGAACAAGACAAGGATGTCCACTCTCACCACCGTTATTCAACCTAGGAATCAAAGTCCTAGCCACAGCAGTCAGACAGGAATAGGATATAAAAGGCATCCAGATTGGTAAGGAAGAAGTAAAACTTTCACTATTTGCAGATGACATGATACTAAATATAGAAAACCCTCAAGACTCCACCAAAAACCACTAGAACTGATAAATGAATTCAGTAAAATCACAGTATACAAAATATACAGAAATCAGTTGCATTTCTATTCACTAATAATGAGATAGCAGAAAGAGAAATTAAACAATAATCTCATTTACAATTACAAAAAGAATAAAATACTCAGGAATAAATTTAACCAAGGAGGTAAAAGACCCATACTCCAAAAACTAAAGAACACGGATGAAACAAACTGAAGATGACACAAACAAATGGAAAGATACTCCATGCTCATGGCTTGGAAGAATCCATATTGTTAAAATGTCCATACTACCCAAAGCAATCTACAGATTCAATGCAATATGTATCAAAGTAACAACAGCATTTTTCACAGAACCTGTTGCTTCTTTCTGTTCTTAGGATAAAAGCCCAAATCCAGTAAATGGTCTGCAAGGTCCTGCATTGTCTGTCTCCAGTACATCTCTAGTCTCATCTTATTCCATGCTTCCCCTCACCCTACACTTCATCTACAGTGACCTTCTTTCATTTTCTAGAACATTCCATGCTCCCTCCATCACAGGGCTTTTGTGATGCTCTTCTCATTTTCTGGAATACTTTTTTCTCCCATGTGGTAGCCATAATAATGTTGTCCCTACCATGTCCATGACCTAATTCCTGGAATTTTTGAGTGTATTACCTAACATGCCCAAAGGGATATTGTGGATTTGATTAAGGATCTTGAGATTGGAAGGTTATCCTGGATTATCCAGGTGAGCCTAATGAACTCACAAGGGTCCTTATGAGAAGAAGGTGGGAGAGTCTGTGAGAGGAGGAGATGTGACAATGTAAGCAAGAGGTCAGAGTCACAGAGAGATCTGCAGATGAAGAAGGGGCACTGATGAATGTAGCCAGCCTCTGGAAGCTGGAAAAGGAAAGAAGTGGACTATCCCCTAAAGCTTCAGAAGGAACACACCCTAGTCAACACATTGATTTTAGGACTTCTGGCCACCAACACTAGAAGATAATAAACTTATGCTGTTTTAGGTCACTGGGTTTGTGGTAATTTTTACAGCAGAATTAAGCAACTCATACACCCACCTTCACCAGTAACTACATTGTTTACTATCTCACATCTAACCCATTTTTAAAACTTCCTTAAAATCCTTAATTGAGGCAAATGCCCCTTTTATATATTATCAAGGCATCCTTTGTATCACCAATTAAGGTTGTAGCTGTACAATTATTTACATAATTAATTATTTAACTCATGCATTCTCCTTTACTAGACTGAAGCTCCACAACACAAGGAACCACATCTAATTTTGTGTACCAAAGTACCCAGCAAAGTACCTGGCACATAACAGGTGCTCATGGATTTTCTTTCACTTCAGCACAAAAAACAACCTGCTGTCCTCTACCATCAGTAATGCGATTTTGGTAGGTAACCTGCGGAGGGTCTTTCTTTAGCCATCTTGCTCAGCACTAAATGGCCCCTGAATCTGAGGAGCTGTGAGTTTCTTCAACTCAAAGAAATTTTCTTCTATTATATATTTGGGTATTTCCTCTCTTCACTCCCTTCACTCTCCTTCTGAAATTTCTATTAGATAGATATTAAAACTTTGGTCTGCCCCAATTCTTTGTGCCCTCTATGCAGCATTCCAGAAGAACTACACAGCTCAATCTTTCAGATTGCTAATCTGATCTTTAGCTGTCTCTACTCTGCTTATTAGTACATCTATAAGGAAATTTTAAATATAATCAATGAAATTAGAACACAGAGATATCCAATTGATCCTTTATGAACTGGCCTCTCATCCCTCTAAAATATATTGATTATGTGTAATTTCTAAATTACATTCTCCTTGCTCTGCAAATTCTATTTCCTTGAGTATTAAGTCATTCACAATGTGGGTTTCCTTAAATATTTTGTAACCTTCATTGTACAATATGCCCTTTTACCCATCTGTAGTTGTATCTATGTATTGCAACCTGCAAATTTCGTGGAAGGATCTAGATATGGTGTGGGTAGGATGGGCTGGCAGTTTTTTGTTCTTCACAAAGGAATTCAAGCCCCTCTTTAGACAGTCAGTAGATGCCTGGAACACATTCTCCCTCTTTAGTCTTAGGAAGACTTAACCGGTCTGAGTGCTGTTCCTTATTTAATCAGCCTGACCACTGAAGAACAGAATTTTTAGCAAGACGCAGTTTTTCTTTGATCTAAAAAACAGAAGGGGCACCTGGGTGCTCAGTTGGTTAAGTGTCTGCCTTTGGCTCAGATCATGATCCCAGGGTTTTGGGATTGAGTGAGCCCTGCATCGAGCTCCCTGCTCAGTGGGAGTCTGCTTTTCCTTCTGCCCTTCCCCTTGCTTGTGATCTCATTCTCTCTCTCTCAAATAAATAAATAAAATCTTAAAAACAACAATAATAAAAAACCCAAAAAACAAAACAAAACAAAAAAACCACCAGAAGTTCTTAATATAAAGTCCCTAAAAAGATTTTGGAGTTCCACAAAAACCCAGAAATTATATACAGAATTACTTTTTCTATGTGCATTTTTCTAAATAGAAAGTTTATAGCTTTCCTAGGATAGCCAAAGGGTTCTTTGACTCTAAAAATGTTAAGAACCATTGCTTAAGGATTTAGGAAGGTGATTTTAATGTAAATCTGAGGGTTTTCTTGTTTTTGTTTTTTTGTTTGTTTGTTTTTTCAAGTTTTCTGCTTTTTCTAACTCTCAAAAAATAGTGCCAGCTTAGTAACAATGTTAACTAGTGGAAATATGGTTGACCAAGATTTCATTATATTTATGATAAAGTCAAACAAATGGGATGGAAAATAAGTATCTTCAAAAGGGTAAGAGAATGTCACATTCACAAAATAACAAGGAGCTACTAAGGAGAACCTATTAGATGTTGTGAGAAGTTTTAAAGGACTTAAAAAATACTTGTACTTTCTTTTCATTTGATATTCTTATTAATGAAGACATCATCTAAACCAACATGTACTAAATGACTGAGACATCCTACCCAAATAATGATTATTAAAGGGAGAGATATAATACCAACTTCAGAAATAATGATCAATGTTCTAAAGAAAATAATTTAGAGTACACCACACATCTTGTTAGTCTTTGTACATCCAGCACCTACTGGATAAATATTTATTGAATCAATAAGGAAATGGAAGAATGAGTTAGTCTGAACATGGTATTTTAAGAATTATCACTTCCTCCTTAGGAAGGCAGTGTGCAATTTTAAATGATTCATAAAGTAGAAAGACGGCAGAACTAAAAAAAGACAAATATAAAAGCTTATGCTAATAGATCAAATAATATGAGAAAACGCAACACACACACAAAAGTAAAATACCTAAGAATCCTACTGAATCAAAAGCAGATTAAATCAGTCTTTTCAAAAACATTATCACAAAGATGAATTTCAGTATCTATCAAGTAATGGTTTTAACAAAAGACAAAGACTTACTAGGGGAGCAAAACAATATTTTGCTATCTACATTTTAAAATCTCCAAAGAAAAGATTAACAAAGTCAAAATAGAGGAATAAAAATCATGAAAGAACAGTAAGTAGGGCCCACAAGGAAAATTCAAGCTCTGGCAGTTCTAACAGAAAGAAAAAAAATATGCAATAAACTATCTTTTCACTATATGAGGGAAAAAAAGCAACCCAAAGTATTTCTATTATTGTCTGAAAGATTAAATGAAAGTGATTATATGCCTTCCAGCTCTCTAAGAAAAAGCAGGGGCAAACATAAGAAAACCTCTCTTGATGAGACTGTGAGAACTACTAACGTTGAAAGAAGACACAAGAAAAAAAAGTCATCTCAAATTTTTAAAACAGAAAAATTACAAAGGTTTAAACATTTTTCTGCCCGGAGATGGGGCTTACACCAGATTTCTCATGACCCTTTTCAGCTCTATACTCTGATCTATGGAGAAAAATAGATAACTCCTTTCAACGTAAATGAGTCCTAAGTTATTATGCAGAGAGAAGGAATTATTCCTCTTTGACCTGACAGGCTTCTAATGGTCAATGTTATACTCCAAGATCCAATTAAGACCAGCAGTACAACCACAGTAAGAAACAAAATAAACATACCTCCTGTTCTTCCATTACCAATCTGCAGAGCAGGCTGAAGGCTTCTTTCATTTTGCAATAAATGAGGCAAATGATAATAAATACTTGGCACTTGAAGAGATTTTTTGCTTGTTAACTCCTTTAATAGCTTTAGGGTATTATCTAAAACAGAAAAGCATAATTAATGCACAGGAGCAGCTTACTTACAGAAGTTGCTAATTTTACAAATATAGCAGTAAAAATTTATGAGAACTAGAACTGTCCCGATTTCATACTTTGGTGAATAAGATCTCCATTTAAAATGAAAAAGGACACTTCTGCAACGAGTCTCAGAGTCCCAATGTTGACAGCACTCTGAAGAAGCTGAAGTACCCTGAGAAGGCGGAATGCTTTAATCATTTGCCATGATAAAGGTTCAGAACTCAGGCCCTGCAGAACACACTCTAAACATGCTACCCATTTATGAAAATATAATAAGCACATTCACCACCAATAACTTTCACTTTCCTTATGCTATTCTATTTTACTGAATTTTCACATGGAAGATATTTTTTTCTCCAAAAAATACAAGTACAATAATTTAAACTGCACAATTTGAGAATGCTCTGTACAGATCCTAACTTTCAAGTAGCTTTTCCATTTTCTTTAGAGGAGTTAATGAATCCTTTAATATAATATGAAATAAAAACTCAATCTAGTAGGCAATATTGTTTTAAAGTTCCAACTATATTATAATTTAACCTTTAAAATACAGAAGTTAGCAGTAAGGACTTAAAGCCTCGAAGATTTCATGCAAAACTCTATGAAAACTCCATTAAAAATATGACAAGAACCAAAAAATTCACAAAAGAAATGCAAATGACTGCTATATTAACAATTAATCTCATAAGTAAAGAAACAACTATAAATTACAAGACACCAATTTCAACCTATCAACTTAGCATAAGATTAAATAATAATATTAGAGGGATGCCTGGGTGGCTCATTCGGTTAAGC